AAGAAGTACAAATAATAAAAAAGTACAGTATAAATCAGCAATTTCATACTTTAGCCCCTAATAACCAAAACAACTTTTATGGATAAAACTACTTTCTTTGGCACAATATTATTTTCGACTTTTACGAACACAGTTAGGGAGTAAAAAAAAAGCATATTAAAAAAAAAAATATTTAAAAAAAAAGGAGACATGCCCGCTGAGTTTCTTGCCAATTCTCCTCAGGACGGAGGCTAGTTCTTATGAATTGGCGGTAGTTCTTTTGACGTTCAACAAGTATGTACTTTCATTTATGTTGAATACAATTTTTTTGATTTCATTTGATTTGATTTGAAATATTGTTTATGTTGTTTGATGTTTTTACTAATGTTGATTTCCTTCATAATTTGTTATTATATATTATATAACAGGTAAATTTGCTGCAAAGACGACTTGAGGTTTCAAATTTTTTCTAATCTACTGAGATTTTTCAGATCCTTTTGGGTCGTTGACCTTCTAGTAGTTCTAGTAAGTAAATGTACTTATTGGGGCTACATCTAGAGATGACTGTAGTATACCATCATACCATAATTACTTCAATTAGTATAATAGGTGTCATTGACTTAGAATTAAATAAATTCAATACTGACTACTAATCTATTATGCATATTAAGCTATTCACTTACCTTTTGTTCTTGAATAATAGTAAACAAAAGTTTTTAAATGATCAGATAAATGGGCTGTTTATAGAACATTACATTTCAAGGAATNAGATGACTGTAGTATACCATCATACCATAATTACTTCAATTAGTATAATAGGTGTCATTGACTTAGAATTAAATAAATTCAATACTGACTACTAATCTATTATGCATATTAAGCTATTCACTTACCTTTTGTTCTTGAATAATAGTAAACAAAAGTTTTTAAATGATCAGATAAATGGGCTGTTTATAGAACATTACATTTCAAGGAATTTTGAATCGCTGTTAGTGCATCATTAAATAAGTAATTATCCTTTTTCCATTAGTTAATTAGGCACTTAATGATTTTTGTGTCTTTATTTTTTTTATTTATACTTGTTTACTTGTGTATGCGTTGATTATTATCACTCTAATATTTCTGCAGGGAAGTATTTATTCTTTCCTATCCGAAGAGAAGAATTATAATATTTTTTTAAACTTGTATTATTTAATCATATATTTTATTTTATTTATAAGATAACAATACTCAAGTCTTGCCTACACATAAATCTGTTACAAAGCATTCGTGATTTCCAGTTGGGAGTATATTTAACATACAAATTAATATGGTTCCTCTTCATGTTTCATGGTGTGTGGCGGTGTGTATTTTTTTATTTCCACGGGCAACGATAGCGGCTTAATAATAGGTAGATCATCAGCCACCTATCCTTCTACTGCAAAAAAATCTTCATGTCATAAGATTCTTATTTATTAGCGACCTTTTTACTTACTGTATTACTGTTTTATACTTTTTAGTTGAAAAATCAACTACGTTGATTTATTAGCTGTGTTTTTACCAACAATAATCAGCTTAGTGAGGTTCCGGAATTATTACGGGAGCGGTGCTTAAATATTCCCAAATAATGAATCAAAGTACGGATTAAAGCTTCCAAATGATTTTTTCCCACGAATTTTCGAAACAATAGATGCGTTTCTCGGTAATGAGTTCAAATACAAGAAGTGGTCGAAATGTGCGAGCGATAACATAAAAAGTACCTGAACAAAGGCAAGACTTAATGATACCGATCTATGACGCTTGTCGATGTAAAATTTTCATTTTAGTTTTCATAAAAATATTTTTTTCCTATCTATTCGCTGGCAGCCTAAGAGACTATTCCAGCTACTCCCGGACGGGAAAACATTAATATAATTATGTGGTTAATAGTAATCACATAATTACACAGCGCAAAATCGTCTTTATTCTATAACTAGCGACCCGCCCTCGCTTCGCTTCGGAAACATTAAAACACATGAAACCAAAAAAAAAAAAAACAAAATTAAAAAAAGTAGCCTATGTTCATCAGGGACAATGTCGGCTTCTAATGGAAAAAGAATTTTTCAAATCGGTCCAGTAGTTTCGGAGCCTATTCGAAACAAACAAATAAACAAATCTTTCCTCTTTATAATATTAGTATAGATATAGACTAGCGGCCCGCTCCGGTTCCGCTCGGAATCTTTAATTAATATTTCAACGATATTTGACGTTGTTTTATTTTTTTAAATAAAAGAACTCTTATTGCGGCGTAACTATAATATTATAGTTAGACTTATGCTGTCGCGACACTTTTTGTAAAAATGTATTCTACAAAGTCGTAGTACATTATTTTATTCAATCTTTAATAGTTTTCGCAGGGCACGCGATGTAAAGAATATTTTAGGTAATTTTTTTACACCTTGGGTTACATTATTAGAGCTTTAGTAAGGATCCGTAATTTTTTCAAAAAGATTATGACTTATGTCATTCGGGAATAGTGTAGTTTCGAAACAGTGNCACTTTTTGTAAAAATGTATTCTACAAAGTCGTAGTACATTATTTTATTCAATCTTTAATAGTTTTCGCAGGGCACGCGATGTAAAGAATATTTTAGGTAATTTTTTTACACCTTGGGTTACATTATTAGAGCTTTAGTAAGGATCCGTAATTTTTTCAAAAAGATTATGACTTATGTCATTCGGGAATAGTGTAGTTTTGAAACAGTGAAAGAATTTTTCAAATCGGTTCCGTAGTTTCGGAGCCTATTCAATACAAACAAACAAACAAATCTTTCCTCTTTATAATATTAAAGTATAAATAAGATTCCATTTGTACTACGCGAAAAAAGAAGATAATATATCATTGTTAACGCCTTTGCCGTATCTGCGTGTCGTCTATAATTGATATTAAGCTAACTACTCTGTAATTAAAATATAATCTGTCTCTTAACACTTTTACGAGGAAAAATTCCCGCTTCTTTTTCTACCTACTTAATTCAATTTATACAAGCTTCTTGCTTCTATACTTAATTACTTCATTTAATTCATCAAAAATACAAACTAAACATCTCTACTCTAAACAAATTATTGTACAAATATAAAATAAAGTCTCGTAATAGAAAACAACGGGATTTCATTGTATCATCAGATACAATCATTTTTGAAGAATAACTGTTTTAAATTCATACGATCTTGCTATAATAATAATATACCCAGTCAATATAACGAGCAAAATAAATAGTTTTTTTTTTTTCAAATCAAATAAATATTAAATATCGTTTACGTTTTATAACGGTAACGGACTCGCAAAAGTGTAGTTATGATTTTGTGAAGGCAGTTTTACGTTAAGTTTTAGTTTTTGTTTTTTCGGACCCGAGCATCCAGTGCCTATTGTTAATTAAGCCTTTCATTTAAGTGAAATAACAATAAAACAAAAAATACGCTACTGTCCGTTTATTATTTGCATACCATGTTATTAGCCTTGAGTGGCTATTCCCGCATTCCCGCTTTATCTTGTCTGGTTGGGAACTCACGGAGCTTCAGAGAATTGCTAAGATCTGCCATAGCAAAAAAAGTGCTTCGCTACTTCGCTAAATCTACCACTGCGTCGGATTCGCGACCCACGTACTTACAACCAGGGAAGGACCCCGATTCCGACAGCATTTATAACCATATTTTAAAAATTTAACCCGCCTAACTAATAATCATGATAGTCTCAATTTTAAATACCGCTATCACGAATTGCATCTATTCGGCGGTGTGGAAAGAAGCGAACGCTATCGGCATACATTAAACCCTCTTCCCAGCATTAGGTAAATTATAAGACCGGCTATTACGCTAACGCTTCTGGGACTTCATCACCTCGAAAGCGTCCTGATCGACGAGTCGTTTAGATTCCAAGAAAATTACTCATGCATTGAGCAAGCATACCGCCTCACGGAGCACATCTTTACTAAAATACTACTCGGCTAAACTAAGCTCTACTGGGCTAAAGAGACCCGTTCCCCTTCTGAAACTCTTCTTAAATATCGCGAAGGCGTTCGACAAAGGCAGCTTAATTTCAAACCAGCGAATCAAACTAGGTAGGCTTGTTAGTAGAGATTAATCGTTAAAATTAAAATGTTCAATAATTAACATTTTATAGCTTTATTTTTCATCAAAATAGATCACAAATTAATCACACACGACATTAGGTCGAAAATCAAGTTTAATTGAACATGTCGAATTGGTCCTAATCTATTATAGATATACGTATCCATCTTCATGGTATGCCATAGTACTGTAGTCGTCGTCCCTTGTAGATGCGAGCATTACGAGTAATAAGGACGCACACAAGCTGCCGCATACAGCTGAAGATACTTCTAACTTTTCCCGATAAAGAACTAATATTTGTATGTGTGCCACGATTACTTCGTACGATGGATGTAATATAAATAAAAACTTAGTTCTTCTGAATACAACACTTGAGATGTTAGTTTATAGATGCTTATTTGCATGGTTGTTCACGTATACGCCTGTGTTAATTGTGTACGACATCAGGTCGAATAAGCGGCACTATCAAACTATGAAGTTAGAAGCGACGGATCCAAATGTTCAATTACAATACATTTATAGTCTTATTTAAAATTATATCACTACCGCTCTCTTAAATACAAGCGTGTAGCGGGGTTTTAAAGAATCAATGAAATGACGAATCTCACCACTTCTGATGGGTCGATGTACTCACTATTTGTCGTCTGAAAAAAAAACAACCAATATTTATTTCAATTAATAAAACAAAAAAGGGTTCTAATTGAATTTATATTAAATCAATTGTCACGATATACCTAGTAAGTGCATCTCTGCCCCGGACTCTTCGCTGATCAGTGTGTCAGCCTGCTCGGGCTCATTATGCTCCGGANGAATCTCACCACTTCTGATGGGTCGATGTACTCACTATTTGTCGTCTGAAAAAAAAACAACCAATATTTATTTCAATTAATAAAACAAAAAAGGGTTCTAATTGAATTTATATTAAATCAATTGTCACGATATACCTAGTAAGTGCATCTCTGCCCCGGACTCTTCGCTGATCAGTGTGTCAGCCTGCTCGGGCTCATTATGCTCCGGAATCGAACTGGGCCCCGGGAGTGACGCTGACGGTGCAGCGAGTTGCTGATCGTTGATGTCATTATCAGCTGCTTCCAAATTAGCTAGCTGGTTTTCCAGTTGTATAACTGTAATTAAAAGGTTTTTTTTTATTTATACTATATTTGTTTTACATTATAAACAAAGACCCGAAGAACAAGAGTCTCAGTGTATTCATATACCAACTTTAATGAAATACGTATTCAACGCAAATTAACCCCGAGGGCCGGGCAAAATCGAGGAGCTTAAGTAGGAAAACGGATTCAGGCACTAGACCTGGAAAACTCTAGAAAGAAGAAGAAGAAGTATTTAACGCACGTTCACGAATGACTTTCACAATGAAGGATAATGTCATCTATACATATAAATAAAATTGGAGTGTCTGTTTGTAATGTTGAAATAACCGCTTTTTACTACATGCGTATGAATAGGTATACGGTACATACACCAAAATAACATTTTTTACAATTTTTGTCTGTCTGTCTATCTGACCGCCTATCTATCTGTCTGTTTGTTCCAGCTAATCTCTGGAACGGCTGGACTGATTATGATGAAACTTTCACTGGTAGGTAGCTGATGATATAAGGAGTAACTTAGGTCACTTTTTTTAGATTAGCTTTGCCCCGCGGTGTTACCCGCGGTAGGGCAATAACCACGGGTAATATCGCGGGACTCAGCTATCAATAAAAAGCTTTAATGTTTCGCGAGGGCGGGTCGCTAGTGTCATATATTATATGTAAAACCTGAAAAATTACAATTTGCGGGATCGTAGATTTATAGATTGTATAATTTGGAGCATTGTAGGACATCTTGCCACTCCGTACGGGTATGTGTTATATCTGCCCTGAAGCTGTAATACGTTTAGGTTTTATAGGTTTGGCAGTACCGTTGTACAATAAAATTGAGACCGAGAACTTATGTGACAAGGTGGGTGGCGGTGTTTACGTTGTTGATGTCTATGGGCTCAGATAGCCCCCAAACACCAGGTGGGCCGTGAATTCATGCACCCATCTCAACAATTAGAACAAACCCATTTAAACCGTAATATAATTATGTACACATTGACTCTTACTTTGAGCTTTCAACAATGTATTTCTTCGACGCAAGTCAGCGATTTCCTCACCAAGTCGTGGTTGCATATTCCGATGCAAATACGCTACAACATGGAGAAGAAGGTCTCCAGTTGGAGTCTGTGAACAATATTATATACTACTAGCCGTAATCGCCCGCTTCTCTGGGCATTTAAAATTGACATTATTATTTATTATCATTATTATTAGGGAGTCCAACACTCATATAAATATTAGCCTATCCATTAAATACATGTATTTTCTACATGGATACCAAGTTTCAAGTCAATCAAATGCATGGTTCAGTAGTTATAACGGAACATCCGTAAAAACCACTGTAGATTTTTATAATTTAGTATAGATTATCATTATTTATTGTAATTATTATTAGGGAGCCCAAAACTCATATAAATATTAGCCTATCCATTAAGTACATGTATTTTCTACACGGATACCAAGTTTCAAATCAATCGGATGCATGGTTCAGTGGTTACAACGGAAAATCTGTAAAAACCACTGTAGATTTATATATTAGTATAGATTATGAACTTGAAAAAAAAAAAAGAAATGACTACATTTTTAAAGACAATCCATTTGGAAAAACATCGCAAATTTTCAATAGCATTATATTTTCGATATATTCACTCCAGCCTTAAGCGGGCCCGACGTTCCCTCCAGAGCCTAATAGTTCGTTATCCTACACATAGTTCTAGTTATTTTCAAAATTATATTGTCGTGCAGTCTATTCTGCTAAGAAGTGCGCTCCCTCTCGGCATCAGAATCATTACCAACCGATGCGTGTTCAAGTTAAGTATAACGACAATGCTTCTTCAGCTATTTGAATGGAAGTAAACATAATTGAACACAATTTAAAAATATCGAACTGTTGGTGCTAATCTTTATATATAAAAATAAATTACTGTTCGTTAGTCTCGCTAAAACTCGAGAACGGCTGGACCGATTTGGCTAATTTTGGTCTTGAATTATTTGTGGAAGTCCAGAGAAGGTTTAAAATGTAGATAAATATGAAAATGCTCGGAATTATATAAAAATAACAATTTTGTTTTTCCTTTGATGTGTCCCCCGTCGGACGGATTCCTTTTGTTTGTTTTAAGTTTATTTTATACAAAAGTTTAGGTCTTTTATTTATCGATTGAGGCACTACGAAGTCTGCTGGGTCAGCTAGTAATAAATAAAACGCACATATAATTACAAAGACATATCTTCTAATAAGTCAAATATCGCTTAAACCAAATAGCCTTTCACTCCTCTATATATTTATAGGTATATATATACACTTATTTACACTTATGTATGGTATGTATGTATTTGTATTTTAATTTATATTTCAATGCACCTACCATTATTTACTCTGCACTACCTTTGGTTGGTAGAGTCACCAATGAAATAATAAGTATTTAGTCCCCTAACATAAATATTACATGAAGAGTAATAAACAATAAATAAATAAAACATATTTAAGAGTGCAGATCGAATGTGAGACTAACCTCGGGAGAACAGCCGGCGGCCTCAGCCAACTGTTGGGTCGCCTCCGCGGTGACCGCGCGACGCTCTCGTTCGTACTGTGCGTTGCGGTTGCGACGCTCTTCCTGTTTCAATTTAAACACCGATTTAATTTGATATAACACCACGCCAGCCTATTTCTGCCGTGAAGCAGTAATGCGTTTCGGTTTGAAGGGTGGGGCAGCCGTTGTAACTATACTTGAGACCTTAGAGCTTATATCTCGAGGTGGGTGGCGCATTTACGTTGTATGTGTCTATGGTCTCCAGTAACCACTTAACACCAGGTGGGCTGTGAGCCCGTCTACCCATATAAGCAATAAAAAAATATAAAAAACACTCACTCACTCATCGGTCTAACTGACCATCACTTAATTCTCTTCGGTTTTCGGAAAACACATTAATTATTTAAAACAACTTTTACGGTTTTATCTCGCGTTTATTGTTTTTCATTTTATAACGACCGCGTCGTTGATAAAGACAATTGTCGACTATTCGAAAGATTCGGCAATTATAAAATTTAAATCGTAAAAGCGAGATTTAAAGCGTAAAAAATGTTTTAATTACATCACTTAATTACCAAGGATAACGGGACGCGATTTCGTCCAGCGGGACGTCCCCTCTTTCTCGACGGTCCGGCACGGTCTTTCTAAAGAAAGACAAAAAAAAAACAATTTTACTAAATTCTACCGAATATTTCAGTACATTAAGTTACTAAGTTTATTATTCAAAATATTTACTTTATCCATTTATTTTATTTTATTTAGTATAGGAACTGTGTTGAATCGGTTATTCCAACAAATAGCCAGCTCAGCAGTTCCACTACCGCTTTTATACTTTGGAAGTTTTACCTGCTCTGCGTCCCCCCGTTTGCGACCGATGCTAGGAACCTATTAGTACTGTTACAATGTTTTGTATTGTTATCAATTATTTCATGCTTTCTTTTCCTGTTTCAATCCATACTAATATATAATTCTACATTGTTTTTACGGATGTTCCGTTATAACTACTGAACCATACATCCGATTGACTTGAAACTTGGTATCCATGTAGAAAATACTTGTACTTCATGGATAGGCTAATATTTATATGAGTGTTGGACTCCCTACACCAGTTGCGGGGGCGTTAATGATGAGAATCTTTGTGGGGGTGAGAAATAATGATGTTAGTTTTAAATGCCCAGCGAAGCGGACGGGTACAGTTAGTCTATGTACATGAATCTAAGGCCGTATGCTCTTCTTAAAAGATACATATTTACAACAACAAAAAAACAGGTCGTAAAATTTCATTAATACCGTTTTAAGAAAATCAATAATCACATACGATAAGTAGAGGGATTAGCAATTACTTCTCTTGCTTATTTATCCCGCAAACCCATCAAGCGTCATTTTGAATTGTGGGATAAAAATCACACATTGTCATTGAGATTTCGACCTTATACTTAATGGCAAATGGCGGCTTTTACGCTGCGATGTCTGCTGCTTTTACGCTGAAATTCTGCGGGTTTATTACACGCTCTTATTCATTCTACGAAATAGTAGTTAGCACGCGTAACATGTAATGATAACCATGATGATTATTTTTTAATGCTTGATTGTATTATTTTATATGTATATCGCACCTTTAGAATTGAAGTGTATTAATCTAAAATTCATATTTTTTGGTAAACGCCAAAAACGTAATTGAAGACTTGTTAATGTTATAGTTTTTCGATTTTAATATTTTAAAGGTATGCGATTTATTTAAACGAAACGGAAAGAGTACATTTGTCCTTTTCTAGGCTAAAAGAAACCGTTTTTACTTTATAAATTGATAGAATACATTTTTATAAATCGATCAAAGCTTAAACTTCATTTTCTTAAAAAAATTTTTAGTTAAGCCACATTTTAATTTTTAAAGGTGCGATATAAAACTACACAATACCGGAGCCAGACAGCTTGTCTACTACGTGCGTAGTAAACGTAGCTCTGTTGATCGGCGTAGCGATATTCACTTGCTGGACTTCATTCATCGTCGGTCATTAACCGTTATTATGAACTAGAGGTCCCGCAGTAGTCGAAATTCGACTATAATTAATTGGAATTGTAAGTTTGTACACTATTATTATTGTATTTTATACTTCTATAATCAAAAATTTCGCCAAGACTACACTTTAAAATATATTAACAAAGACAAACAATATTTTATCTCAATTTGACAACAGACGTCAAGAACAAAAGTTTGACAATAAATAGTACGGTATGCATGCGTGTATATCAAATACACGGTAGTGTGTGTAATGTTTTCTTTATTGATTTAATGTATTTTTTATGCATTATTTAAAAAAAATATTAGCATTGTGCACTTCTTCTCTATATTCTGTATAAGTGTGGAAAATTCCATACTCCTCCGTCCGCGCAATTTTCGTAAAAAGGGATACAAAGTTTTTGCTTCACGTATTAATATATAGATAGTATAATATATTATGGGCGCAAACGCCACTATTGTCAATAATTAAGATGATAATATACGAGTATAGTTTAGTTTACTCTATGTTACTTTATTTATTTATTATTAGCAATATGAAACTTATTCTATCTACCATATTTAATATTTAGTAGACACTGTTTTGATGTGAAAATGTTTAGAATTTGTTTAATGCTTATATTATAGTTTAAAAACACAAATGACTGTATAGTTAATCAAATATTAATAAAGCATAAATACTAACAATAAATTAATTGTTATAATTAGCATTAATAATTTGATTAAGTATTGTAATTGTTATGCAAATAATGTTGTTGGCGCCATCTATTGTTATGCTGGATAATAATAATGTTAGTTTATATTAGTTAAAAGTAATTTATGTAAAATAAATTAATGTCAGAGTCATGTAAAAATCACTAAAATATTTATTGAGAATATTAAGCTACATTTTATGAATTGTTTCGCAGTCGTTCCATTTGTTTCTATTAAAGAAGTTTTTGCTGCTATAACCATAAAAAAAAATGGTTTAATGTGTAAAAATTAAGACGTTACTTTTGTTAATAAACAAGTAATGTTAAAGTTTTATAGAATTGTGTATATTGTATTTTAATTGTAATTGTAATAGATCTTATGTGCGAAAACCCTGGGGTTTTATTTTTATTTTTTATGATTGAAGGATTACTGGTGGCCTGGAGGCTTTTCCAGTTTCACCAGGACAAGTGGGCGAGCAAAGGCTTAGCCAGAAGGGGTGGGATTTGCTAACAACTGCCCGAGCGCCTGTATGAATACTGAAATGCTTAATAACGGTGGTTTATTAACTGTTTAACATCTGTAAAAGTGCACTAATGTGGGAAAATAAAACAAAGCCGCTGGACGAACTTCTCGGGATCCTCCAAAAAGTCCACTGAAAAAGTCTCAGTAAATAGGATAATAGGAGTAATGTTAGGACTTCTTGTGAGTCCGCATGGGTAGGTACCACCACCCTTCCTGTTTCTGCCGTGAAGCAGTAATGCGTTTCGGTTTGAAGAATGAGGCAGCCGTTGTTACTTTACTGAGACCTTAGAACTCATATCTCAAGGTGGGTGGCGCCATTTACGTTGTAGATGTCTATGAGCTCCAGTAACCACTTAACACCAGGTGGGCTGTGAGCTCGTCCACCCATCTAAGCAATAAAGAAAAAAGAAGAAAAAATACAATTTTACTGAGTTTAGGTATATCTCATCCCATATCATCTCACCTCATTACACTTAATTTCATGCCAATTGATTAATGTTTCAAATTAATCAACTTCATTTCGTTTCATTTCATATTACCATTATTCATTTTTTTTAAATATAAAATATTAGACTGTTTGGTATGATGTCTTTGCTTTCCCAGTTGAAAAAATAAAACTACTATTAATTGTTGTTTGACAACAAATACACGGTACTGTGTGTAATGTTTTCTTTATTGATTTAATGTATATTTTATGCATTATTTAAAAAAAATATTAGCATTGTGCACTTCTTCTCTATATTCTCTATAAATGTGAAAAATTTCATACTCCTCCGTCCCTCCGTCCGCGCAATTTTCGTAAAAAGGGATACAAAGTTTTTGCTTCACGTATTAATGTATAGATATGTGACGATTCACATAGGTACGATGATAGCTTTGATTTTAATTAAATTTTACTTCAGACTTTTTTATTGCATACATTATGTTTTGCAGAATAATTACTCAATACCTTTTCGTAGAATTCAAAACACAGGAAAAAGTCAACTTCCGAGTCACTAATATAATAATAATGAGGCTGAATCTGAGGCTAGTGCCTCAGAAATATTGCTATGCGACTCGTAGCTCTCGTCAGATTCGCCAAAATCTAAATTATATATATATACATATAATATAAACAACAACAATCAAAGTATATTAATCAATAACTTCAATTCTTTTTTTTTTGTAGACATTGTCATTGTTGATTGAAAGTTGTATTTTTTTTTTGTCAGATGTTATTCGGTTACCATTAATCGTTGTCGTATATACGATACGATAACGATATGTAAAATACATACAAGGACACTGTTATTTTCTCATATATTTACTTATTGCCTACAAGTTACCTCCGACAGGGAGAGTGCCGGAAATATATTTCATTTAAATATACATTTATGTACATATGGCGGCTTTATTAGTCGATGTTACCAATACAGTTTGAAGCTTGACATTTTTGCTATCGAAAATTTCGTCAGATCCAAATAATAAAAAACTTGAGAGTATTTTTTGACTAATTTTAAGACTTTTTTTTCTCAAACAATTTAGGAGTATGCGAGAAAAAATATTGTCAAGTTTCAGAAAAAGTAACATTATAGCTAACCAAAACGTTAAAAAAATAATGGTAGCCTCATGTATTTTTAGTTCAGACATCGAGGTCACAATATTAATTGGCTTTAGGCATGAAAAAAATCGACAGGGAATGAAAAGTCACTTACAAAAAACTCATCGAAAAAATTTCGTCTTTTGTTTTTTTTTTTTTAATTTTTATGATTAATTTTGGCGATATATTAACCGTTACCATTACAAAGAGCACACTCTAAAACATAGGGAGCTGCGCTTCCTCACTTTTTTCTGTACTAATTCATCACAAGCAACAGCCCAAGCTCAGATGTCCTTTGGGCGCTAATGGGTTAAACTAAATGTTGCAAAACACAGTTGACTTGACTAATCCTCAAATTCGGCGAGTTCGTTTTTTATTACAATATCCTTTCATAGCGAATGCTATTTGTGAATGCATATTAGGTACTCTAGTTATTGCTATTTGGCAGTTGTATTTTCTAAAATTTGAAACTCATTATTTCGCAGTACAAATGCACTGCGCGCCCGTATACATGACGCTGCCAATTTTTTCTTCCAGGTAGTTTTACGTTGAGCTATTTATTGACCTGAGTTGTTTCTGCGTGTAAGCCACAAACAATAACCAGCTTAGTGGGAAGGTCCGGCGCTGCTTTATTATAGGGGAGCATTGTATTAAAAAACGTACCAAATTATTAAACGGAAAACTGAAAGAACGGGTGGGTTTCTCGGAAAGGTTATAATCTAGACGACGCGACGGTAGCCGAAATTCACATAGTTTACATTTATTCATCTGAACTATTGATACCGTTTATTGTAGGCTGCATGACAGAGATTTAATAAATCGCTCAAGTACTGTTTGTGCTTACACGTTTATAACGTTCTAAGATTTAATTTTTTGGTATTATATAAAGTTAATAATGATTTACTAGATGGCACGTCGTGAGATTGGGACTTTTTCGGCCAAATCATTTGACTTTAATGATTAATACATTCGGCATTTGAAGAAGGACATGTTATAGCGTAATGAAGATATTGAGGAGACGAGAACCTACGAGTCAGTCTAGTGATACTTTTTTCCCTTACCTAATCGTTGGCAGTCCAAGAGGCTATTCTCATTATTCATGGACCAGTAGGTGAGCTCACGGTCTAAGCCTGAGGGAATTTGGCTAACAGTGATCCAAGCAAGAGCAGTGCTTCGCTGAATCGACCACCGGATCGGAATCGCGATTAACTGAGAAGATCCGACCATAAGCGCAGTTGGTTTTAGTGGTACCTCCTAAGGTCTGTCCAAATCACAATGTGATACACAATGTGATACACACAAACATATGTCATTTAGAAATTTAAACATTCGCGTTACCAAAGTCATGTCGTAAACTAAATTAGAACTCATTTTGTATTATTGTAAATTTGAGTGTACTTAGTTGTAAATTATACGAGAACAGTCACAGCTCTTTTTCAATTTCAATGTGAAGTGTTTATTGTCCCTTTTGTACATTGTAGGGTGCGAAGGATTCTTTCAAGAGTTTTCGCGAGATGACCGCGTTCTTTTGTTGGTGTTATTTGACCGCGGACTTTCATTTGTTTTTAGTTTATCTAAGGTACATAATTCGGTTTCAATAAAACTAAGGTTATAGTGTTATCTATATATTAATACATGAAGCAAAAACTTTGTACCCCTTTTGCGCGGACGGAGGAGTATGAAATTTCCCACACCTATAGAGAATATACAGATGGAGAGCCATTTTTTTTTGTAACTGAGGGACTAGGTACTAGTCATTATGAAAAGATCAATTGCAAATACGAAATATGAAGTAAAAGAGGCTTAGTCAACTTAACTTAGATACTAACAAAGGTATACAGAAATACTCGTAAGCATGAAACTACTGCCGTTTTGTGTACGTTCAAGATTCAACATACAATTCTGATAGTTTTTAATTGCTTAGATGCATGGACGAAGCTCTCCGCCCACCTAGTGTTAAGTGGTTACTGGAGCCCATAGATATCAATAACATGCATGCCGCTGTAAAAGGTGGGAGACATGAGTTCTAAGTCTTAGAACTCGCGGGCTCTCAAAGCGCGCTACCATCAGTAATTACGCAAATAAAAAAATTTTGGTGTTTGATTTTAATGAAAATCAAACACTTAAATTTAATTTTTTTTTTTTATTTATTTGTAATGACACGGTGTTGTTCCTTCACCGTGAAAGTCATTCGTGAACATGTGTTCAATACGAATAACATTTAAAAAAAAAATTGTACCTGCCTGCGAGATTCGAACACCGACACCGTCACGTTCGCCTTCACGCCACCTCCACAACCTCAACAAATATTAGCTTTAAAAAATAATAATTTAATAATCCTCTTTATACTATCTCTCGGGTTTCTTTTATGGTTTAATCGCCCGTTTTTATTGATTAAATCGAGGGGTGGAAGACTGATTTAAGAAGACTGGTTTAAATGACAGTTTTGGAACTTTACGAGAGTGCCATTTAAAGTTTAAAGTTTTGAAAAAATATCGTGGCAAAAAAACTTTCTCGGCTATTTTTATAGGGTAAAGATAATTAAAGCTTAGTTACAAACATCGAATACTTGATACTAATACAAAAAAACCGCACCTTTTAGAATGATAAATGTGGCATTCTAAACGAAAAGTCGCTTAAACCAAGTAGCCTTCCACCCATCTATATTCTAGCTGACGCCTCGAGTACTTTCGAAGTTTTCGTTGTCACGGAAGACCGACTGACGATGTCGTATAAGTATTTTTAATTAAGTCCTATTTATTTCTGCCGTAAATCATTCATGCATTTACGTAGGTACATAGGGTACAATAAATGTATTACTATTTAGACCTCTTAAAGAAAGGGCATTCATTTTGTTGTGCTCAGCGACTCTGAGCAACACTTAGTACCAACAAATATTCGTTGTGATCTAAGAGCTTGGATTGTGGTTCACCCAATTAATTTTAGAATCAAATCAACAAAATTATATTTGGAATTGATGGAAAATGCAATGATGAGTCTTAGTGACATCTAGCGACAAAAAAAGTATCCTCTGAACATTTTACAAAGTAGCCGCGCTGTAGTTTCTCTGAAGCGCGATAGATGGCAGTTCCATTAATAATCTTGGTATCAAATGAACTCTGATAATTGATAAATACACGCTCATTACTTTACTAAATGTCAAATTAAAATTAAAAAACATTTAACGTTTGAAATTGAAAGATACATACGAGACGACCAAAGATCACTAACACCAATATTTTTAATCAAAAAGTTGATTCTAGTCGGACATCGAACAAGTCAATCAGTTATTTTATAATTAAACCAACGAGATCCTCAAAACATAATTAAACCAACATATCTTTTTGTAAAATAAAAAATACTATTTATATAAATAAGCGTGTAATGCGCTTTCCCTTTTTTCATTTTCTTAAAACATAGGTACTTTCTAACGAATTCTATGCGGGGTCTTAATATTACCTACCGAACAAATACAGGCCATCGCAATATGTTGGTATAATAATTTGAGTATACTGCTTCCCATATCATAAAATATTGTGTGATATCTTGGGTGGATGAGGTCACGGTGCTTAACCTGAGAGGACTTGCTAACACTGGCCCTAGGAAGAGCAGTGCTACGCGGAATATAATCAGGTTAGAGCCTCGTGACCTACTCGCTACCAGAATAAGTAGGAAAAAAAAACTGAGTCAACCAATTGATCAAAATCGCGGATAATTCACGGAGAAAATCCTGCGAAAAATTCAGTGGAATAAGGTAGATTGCATGTCGAACTCTTCATCGCATTCGACGACTTCGACCATGGATTAAGACGAGTGCAATAGTAAAACTTTTACACCCTAACTAAAAACAGCGAGGATCTCGTGAAATACCGTATACCTAAGTTTAATTGAAAAGCTGTACTTATAGATACAGTACATACTTGAAATAGGCATGTTGCTACCAGGAACTTCTCTAAAACATTTGAAATTATCAACTGGCATTCTTATTTTGATGTCTGTGGTTTTTTTTTTTAAGAAGGCATAAGTTTTAATATTCGTGATATTAAAATTAGAGGGGACAAAACACTAAAAACGACAAAATATATACCTAGTAATTTTGTTTAAAACTAAATTGTCAAAATAATGGCTGTTTTGTTTCATTTATAATAGATTAAAAAAACAATTCCCAGGGCCATTAAGGTTATTAAAAATGAAATCCCCCAGCAGTCCATAATTTTGTATTTGTTTTAATTAAAATATCATGCCATTGTCCCTTAATATTAGTTGTCACGAACGCAACGGGTTTTCTGGCGCATGTCTTGGAATTAATTGACCCGAGTGAAGTTCGCGCGATCGACCTCGGAGCCACGACAAGCACATACGAAAACTGCCGAATAGTACCGAACGAAAGTCACACAAGTATTCACGTCCGTCGGGAGACCACATTTATTGACAATTTCCTATAAAATTCCCTCTTAAAACCAGCCGTTTGTTAAGTTAAAACGTTGACAATAAATCGAGTGAAACAGTGATAAAAACAAAACAAAATAACATCGTTACGCAAGTAAATTGTAACCACAGACAATAATATTATGAATACAACAACAGCAAGATCGGTAACGAATACTAAGGAGTTCCGCTAACTATAATTAGCGATAATTAAGAAGTAAACCATCGATTTGTTTGTGTGAGGACATAAGGGAAAGTAAACAATAAGTACTCAAGATCGCAGATTTCGTACGAAGCTAATTAAATAGAAAAATAAAACATGCCGACATCCGTGCACGAAAACGTTGCTCTCCTCAACATGATGTCTTCGGATAATTACGAAGACGATCTCAAAAGTGTTCAACTGCATTTTCCATCCGAAAGACGTTTGCAAAGTGACGGCGCATGCGTGGAGGAGAGGGTGCGGACTTCCCGCGGCGACATCCTCGTTGCCGTACGAGGGGACCGCAGCAAACGAGCTATAATCACTTATCATGACCTTGGACTCAATTATGCCGCCAACTTTCAGGCGTTCTTTAACTTCGTCGACATGAGATCAATTCTGGAACAATTTTGCATCTACCACGTAAACGCTCCTGGCCAAGAAGAGGGATCTCCGACTCTACCCGAGGATTACACCTATCCTAGCATGGACGCTCTGGCGTCTCAGATCGACTTCGTCTTGGGTCATTTTGGTATACGATCTTTCATCGGTTTCGGAGTGGGTGCCGGAGCGAACATATTATCGCGTTATGCCATCATCAACCCCCAAAAAGTAGATGCTTTAGTGCTCATTAACTGCACCTCTACCCAAGCGGGATGGACCGAGTGGCTGTACCAAAAAATTAATACAAGACAACTGCGCGCTAACGGAATGACTCAAGGCGCGCTGGACTACCTGATGTGGCACCACTTCGGTCGAAGCACGGAGGATCGCAACCATGACCTCGCTCAAGTATACAAAGATTGCTTTTCTCATGTGAACCCTGTCAATTTGTCATTGTTCATCGACAGCTACTTACGGCGCACGGACCTGAGTATAGCGCGCGATTCAAACACACTGAAGGTGCCAGTTCTGAATGTGACCGGCGCTTTGTCGCCTCACGTCGATGATACGGTGACGTTTAACGGGCGACTAGATCCCGCTAAGACGTCGTGGTTAAGCATTTCCGATAGTGGAATGGTATTGGAAGAGCAGCCAAGTAAGATAGCTGAGGCGTTCAAGTTGTTTCTCCAGGGCGAAGGGTACTTGAGGTAGTCGCGTATCTGAAGACGACATTCCGAGCGCAGCGTTGCTACTACTAGAATGCACATGTTGCTTTCACGCAAGCTTTAAATACAATAGTCACGTTACACGTTGAAGACGTAGGGCCATGAAGTTTCTTGTTTATAGATGTGAAATAAAATTTTATTTTACTGCTTATTTTTATATATTTTCCTATCCTATATCTTCCACTTACTATTCTAATGCACAAATATTTCGGATATACCTATTATTTTGACTGCAATTTAAATTTCTATTTGTCGTGTCTTCTTCAGTGTCTCGTAAATAAAGTCAATTTATTTGAAATATAAGCTTATTATACAATGTCGTGTCGTAATATAAGTCTTTAAGAATTTATTTTTTAAATTACAGTTACGTGTACTAACAATAAGCTCACAGCTGTTGTCTGCTAAACGCAGTAATCAAGGGCTCAGGGTAAAAAATAATTTATGTAGTAACCCCAGATTCTATTTGTATCACATAAAAACTGCCACGTTCTATCTATAAACCATATTGTTAATTAGAAGTACTACTTAGTAGTTCTATTATTATTATTATTATTATTTAAATAATGACTATTCTTAAAGATCAAAGATTTTGATGTTCTAGTTTGTAAGCATCCGTATTAACACTGACTCTTCATTGTATAGCATAGAACAGAGGTCATAAGCACCATATCGAGGGATAAAAGGATATTTAGTTTAAGCGACATTGTTGCAACTTTATAGGTGAGCCACTTAAAGTTTAAATTTTGGACAAAATATCATAACAAAAAAACTTTTTTCAATTAATTGAATGCGGTACGCTTCATTGAAGTTTAATTAAAACCATAGAATTGTTGATACTAATAACACATAATACAATATTTAATTACAAAGATAAATGTCACGTATTAAGCGTAATGTCGGTCCCACAGACACAGTCCACTGAGTTTCTCGCCGGATCTACTCAGTGGGTCGCGTTTCCGATCCGGTGGTAGATTCTGCGAAGGACTGCTCTTGCTAGGGTCAGTGTTAGCATCACTCCGGTTTGAGCCCCGCGAGCTCACCTACTAGTTAAGGTTACAAGGTTCTCAAGGCTATCAGCTTAAGTAAAAAAAAAGCCTCGATATGTTAACAACGTCAATGCCTTTGCCCACCGGCATACGGGTCAAAGCCGCAGTTCTATTGAATTAGCACATCTATACTGCTCTTCAGACTGGAACGCATGATAGCTTCATTATAAAAATGAACACAACGATTGTACCAGTCCTTGCAAGCCCAAACCATGCCCTAACATAGAAGAGGTATAGATATTTTGGCTAAAAAATAAACTGAGAATACTTAAGATGAATGATAGACAAGTGGCAGCAATTTCTTGAGGCGGTCCAGTGGCATACAAATCTTCGGATTACGTTAGTGAGACAATATGAAGTCGTCGTGGCCCAAAGGATAAGGCGTCCGGTGCATTCGTATCTAGCAATGCACCGGCGAATCCCGCAGGCGGGTACCAATTTTTCTAATGAAATACGTACTTAATTTGCTTCCACGGTGAAGAAATAACATCGTGTAGTAAAAATCAAACCCGCAAAATTATTATTTGCGTAATTACTGGTGGTAGGACCTCTTGTGAGTCCGCACGGGTAGGTACCACCCCGCCTATTTCTGCCGTGAAGCATTAATGAGTTTCAGTTTGAAGGGTGGGGCAGCCGTTGTAACTATACTGAGACCTTAGAACTTATAACTCAAGGTGCGTGGCGCATTTCCGTTGTAGATGTCTATGGGCTCCAGTAACCACTTAACACCAGGTGGGCTGTGAGCACGTCCATCAATCTAAGCAATAAAAAAAGACCTTATTTTGATATAGAAAAGAGGAGCATTCATCTTTTTCTGAGTGATGTGATCATTCTATGTTTCAAAAGCTCTGGGCAGATCTTAACGTTTCAAAATAAATAAGTGCCTTACACCATAAACGATTTTTACGAGGCAGGTTATAACAGCGTGTAATGAAATTGAAGGTAAGGCGTGTTGTGTTCCGTAGATTTCAGTCTGTTCTTATCTTGAAGCCGACGTGCCTTTGATAGGTTATTATTATTAAAATAAAAGTAATATTTCGTTCTTATGGATATTCAAGGTTGGTTAGTTGCATTATTTTTTTGTATTTCTATGGGCTCCTTCTTCTTTGTCGCCGCATACTTAATTGCTGAAGGTCGTGTCCCTGAAAGACCTTCGTGGCTTTTTCTGTGGGCAGAATGTATTTATTGTACGATGAGTTGATTTTAAAGTCTAGCCTGCGTAGGATAGACGACATTATATATAAATATATACTTTTTTGTGTATGTATTTGCAACATAATATAAATTTCATTGCGCCTACCACTATTTACTATGCACTACCTTTGGTTGACTTCGGTAGAGAATGCCTAGGCATTAAGTCGCCAATATAAAGTTTACATGAACTGTAATAAATAAATAAATAAATAAGTAAAAAAATTAAAAAATAACCGGTCTTATAGATCCTGTCTGTCAGTGTCTATAGACTTCGGGTATCTTAACAACCCTCGTAAACATATCCAATACCGCTTTAAAGTAGAGAAAACTGTAAATAATGCATGGCTCGTTCCAATATTAAATGACATAGGTGTTATAATGAAAACTAATGTTACGGCTTAGTCGAGTGCTTCTTATTCTCATCAAATTATTTGAAATGTTTCGAATAATTTATAGCTTTCGTGGACACAGAACGACTAAGGTGTAATTCGTCGTCATTTGAACATAGTGTTATTTACCGTCTATTTTTCAAAAAAAAATTATTATTTCTTAGTTGGATGGACGAGCTCACAGCCCGTCCATATCCATAGACATCTACAACGCAAATACGCCACCCACCTTTAGATATGAGTTCTAAGGTCTCAGTATAGTTACAACGGCTACCCAACCCTTCAAACCGAAACGCACTACTCCTTCACGACAGAAATAGGCGGGGTGGTGGTACCTACCCGTACGGACTCACAAGAGGTCCTACAACCAGTAAAAAAAATATCTTGAATTTTAAATTTCATTTCACACCGAAAAACCAAATTAAACAATAGAAGTACTGCTAATCATGTCTACGTCTTGTGTATGTTTATGCATACAAATATTAAAAATATCGTTCAAAATAATTTAATTCCTAAAGCTAAATAATTAAAGCATGCAATTAACTTCAGCCGGAGAATTTTTAATCCATTCTGCGCTCTACAAGTGCTGTTTGACATTAAAGTTTACTGAATAAATTCCATAAATGCTGCTTTTAAAATTGAAAAGGGGATGTCGGGATAAACAGCCAAGTTTAAAACTATGCAGGTTTTTTCTTGCCTTTTCTGATTTTAACGTTACGTAATTATGAGCTATGTGTTCTTCCATCCACGAATACGGTCACGTTTTCTTAATTTAACAAACCATAGAAATTGCGAGTGAAGTTATATGTTTGGATGCTTCAAATGATTTTTCCTGGGCAATTTGTGTTCAATTTCAATTGCATGCAACTTGTGGGCAAACATTGCCAATTTTGGGATATTGATTTTGTGCGCATAAATTTCCAATTTGTTCTTATCTGTAAATAGACAGACAATGCTGATGTTAAGTAGTTACCGAAAGACATTAATAGAACAACGTAAACCAACACTATATTTTTGAAAAGTTACGTCAATTACGTGGTGATATCGACCTAAAATAGCATCACCCCCTCTCTACCCGTCGTTGTAAAAGTCGATTAAGAAGCTCACTCGAAAATGGGTAGCTCTTTTAGTATTATACAGGAGTAATGCGATTGCCGCATTTATTTGTTTTGTCGTATTGTAAGCCAGCTCAACTAGGTACCCCGTGGATACTTGGTTTATCGTGGCCAGTCATGCTTTTCAATTTGAATTTGATTGAATTTGATGGGACAACTGTTATACCATACGTTGAGACTTCATATTGCAAAACGAAATTATGACTGGCTTATTTACACGGAAAGAACATTGAATAAATATTTGGTCAGTGATCAATAACGTAGACTTGTTCAAGTCTTAAAAGGTTATTTTACTTAAATGAAAATTCCCGAACGAACGAAGAGATCGGTTTTTTAGTAAACTTGAAATTTAAAATATGAATTATCGTTCCCTGTACATGAAAGATTTTTACGGGCACGTCACTACTACAAGGAGAAATAATTATAATGCTGACTTAACTGTAATACGAAATGAGGCATCAGCAATCAACGTACCGGTCGCTACGTGCAGAACATAAAAAGAAAAACATTCAAAGCTGTAATTAATTTTCGATTCGCGCTGAACGCTCAATTCGTGTTTTTGTTTGAGAGCGTTTTTCCGTTTTCCCGTACAAACGTGACGCCACCCAAGCCCAGCCCCGGGGTGTGGGAGGCCCTAGTTAAATGGACTCTCTGCACGAAAGAGTCGGGCTCAACCCCCCTAACCACCCACTCGCTGACCACTGGATGAACGGATTATGAAATATTTCATCGGAAAATAAAAATGAAAGAAATATCAGCTCCGGTGTCTGAGAGGTTTTCTTCCGGCTGCAATACCGGCTAGTTATAACTTTGAAATTGTTTACGAAGTTAAATGAGAAATGAATGCATTTTATGAAAGATTTATATTATATCACGGCTTTAGAAAATACTAACCCTTTGCATTCGAGACGTGAGTATCGCTAGCCGCATGATTTAATTATAAACGACAAAAAGAACGATAAGAACAAATTTCAAAAACATAAACAAGATGTCAATCATCATATAAAGTAACATCAATAGTCAGCGCATCGAATTTCCGCACCAAACAAAGTGGTGAGCGAGACTGACCTCTCGAGTGCCAAGGATTAACATTAAACATTTAACGATTATCATGATCTAATGATTAGTTTAATAAAACGACTCACCTTAATTAATTAGATCGACTGAATTTCCCACGGGGTCTCATTAGCTCATATGTAAACGTTGTCCTAGCTAATGAAACAGTTATTTGGGAATATCGCAACGGTTCATTACCTAATTAATTACTATAAGACATTCCTGGACGCAAATGGCATTGTTATAGGTTTTTTTTTGAGGTTAATGACACGATCTGGACCTCAGTCCAATAACGTAATTACAGCTGCTGAAAGAATAAAGGATTGATGTTTTGAATCTTATTTAAAATTC